GCTATTGACATCAACTTGTTTTCCTTTTTCTGTAATAAGACTAAGAAGGCATTAATATTTTAATTTGTTGGCCTATATATTAGTTACACAGTATTTTTAATTTTCTTTAGCTTTTGTAATGTTTTTAATAAAATTAGTTGTCAACAGTATCTGTTTACTTTGTGGTTTTGTAATAAGGCTTAGGAAACATTCCTATGAATATGTATAGTTAATTGACACATGTGGTGTTCCTATTGGTCAAAATCAACTTAAATGCAAATCAAATTCTGTATTTTTAATGAAACCTTGAAAAACTGTTGCTTCATTTAGTTTTACCTACGTCATCTCCGCCTGGCGTATATTTACTCTCCATCTCTATGAAACATCACTGCAAAATGTCATCTGTGTCCGCCACTAAACAATAACTCCCTGTCAACAATTTGTGTCTCTTAAACAGAGGCAATGTGGAGTATGTACAAACTGATATTAATCGTTAATAAGGCTGTCAAAATGCTAGACAGCATGCAAAATTTCAATAACAAAAAAAATTTAATAGTCAAAAAGTCCAAACGGCTGCATGAGACTTGATTTAATTGAATTATTTTAAGCATTTCATATCACATTAAATTTTATTGTAAATTTTCCTTCCCAAGATGAACAAGCTTCTTGTGGATTCAAAGTGGTGAGTAGTAAATTGCATAATTTGATGGTGAACTAACCCTTCGATAGGATCACAGAATATCTAAAAAGAGCCTTTCATCCTTAATTAGCTCAGATGTGCTGCTCATCGAGCATATTGTGGCTTGCAGGAATTCAGGCAGTGAACACAGCAGTGAGCCGCACGCAGCAGGACCAGGATGTCCATTTCAGGATTGGCCGTTAGGATGACCTCAGAGAAGAGGTACACTTTCCCCTCTCTTTTGAAGATGAGCTGGACCTTTAATTACGCTATTTCCATTCCTATAAATCTATGAAAATATATTGAGGCAATAAAAATGTGATGATTATATCATCGCTGTCTAAAAATAATTCTAGCCAGACTAAGATGGTTTGCTGGTTGTAACTAGTTTAAGCTGGACAGTTACTACCTCGTACATGCATTTCAATGCAGTTTTGGGAATGGGGTACTGTTGAATTGAATACTGTGCAGTATATATTGTTTAAAAAATAGCATCTATGCCGTTTTGCAGTTTGATCTCCAACTTAATCTCTTCATTTTTGTTAGTGAGGCAAAAACATGTCTGATATGACAGGTTTTGCAATCTCTATAACAAATATATTAGCATTTAAGTATGATGTGCACATTGTCACTTTCTTACTACACAGTGTGCATTTTATTTACTACAGAAATAATATTGTAGTGTGTTTCTTTGCTATTATTTTTTTACATTTAAAAATTTTTTTAAATAAGCTGAAAAATGCTGAAGCACGTATTTCCAATGAGCCTGTGTTGCATTAAACACAATTCTGCATATTTTATGTTGTTTACACAGAGATGGTAACTGTATCACTGTCCTAAGTTTTAAATCCATATGTTTGCATATTCAGGCCCCCAAAAACAACATTTGTTATTGTACAGCCAAAACACAAAAAAGCTTCCATCTTTAAAGGTGCAAAAGGAGATCTTGGCAAATGCTAATGTTAGCCTGATAGCACTGAAAGACTACGTCTTACCCAGCAAATCTCCATCCAAAGTCACGCCTCCTGAACACATGAATGCACACTAGACAACATCACTACAATACATGTAACATTCACCGCCAGTGTTGGGTAAGTAAGAGTAATAGATTATAAATTACTGATTACTACAGGAAAACTGTAATCTGATTACATTACTGATTACTTCATGTAAAACGTAATCAGATTACTAATTACTTTACTTTGAAGTTTCTTTTTTAAAAACATATAAAATATACCTATACACATTACAATGGGTTGATCACAGCAGCTTGACAAATTCAAAATATTTAAAAAGTTTAATTTAAAATTTTCTCATCATTCACTTTTTCCAGAAGAAAAACATTTAGAAGAAAACTGGATACCTGTAACCACTGGCATCTATAGTATGCAAAAGCACAGCAGTGTGTGGGTGTTCTGTGTTTGTCTGAGGTAATTAGTCTACTGAAATGTGTATTTTCCAAAGTATGAAGCTAACCGGTCAGTTCTTGTCACATGACTCATGGTGTTCAACTGGGGGCGCCTGAGAAATGCGAGTGTGCACAATATGCACTCCCAAGATGCGTGCTCGGAAAAGACACAATATGTGAAACGCTTTTCTTTGCATTGAGAAGGTACCTTCTTTTCCGTTCCTGCACAAAATTACAATTTATTTTAACAAATTAGTTGGGCCGCCCTGTTTTTGGGCACCGGTGACCTCCTTGGTGAGAAGTATCGTCTTAGAATGCTTTCTGCTCAAGTGCTTGAACATGTTGCTGGTTGAGTTAAAAGCAGTTAAAAGTTCTTTTGAGACTGGACATAGACGGCATTTTCCAGAAATATTTTAGTTTTCACGCTCAATAAAACCAAAAGTAATGTTTTCCACTTGAAGAAGCAGCCACTCTCGACAGCAACCATTCCAGCAATTTAAAAGCGCATGGTTAGTAACTGATGTTGCAGCAAAAAGAAAAGAAGCATTTTTTTCTTCCAAAAACGATATTTGTAACGTGACACATTTTAAAATTTAAAATGTAAATTTAAAATGTAATTCGTTACATTACTGCGTTCCCCAAAAATGTAATTAAAATACAGTAACACGTTACTGTGGAACTCGATACAACTATGATTACCGCAAAGAAAACTTTTTACAGTGAGTAACTACAATTCCAAACTTAAAAAGGAAGCAAGGTTGTTCATGTTTTCCTGCCATCCTCCGTGTCAACTCTGTGTCCATGTCTAAGATGCAATCTTATCTGCGCAAACAGTGGGCGCAAGATAAGGTATGCAATTACATATTTTGACAGGCATGTAGCCTATCGAAACTTTTCTTGGCTCTACACCTAACACAGAATATTAAAATAGATATAAATACATTTGGATCAAGTAATATAATTATTCCTATCAGGATATGATAAGATTTTCAACCAAAATTTGTTGCTTAAGTAAGTCTGCACGATTCTAGCAAAAATGTGGATCATGATTTTTTTTTTTTGCTTAAAATCAAGATTTTCTCACGATTCTTTAAATGTAAAATAAAGATTATTATGATTAGCCAATTATTATTGTACATTCTCAAACATATGGTAAAACAACTATAATAAAATTAGGACTACTGAAGGCGACACAGTGGCGCAGTAGGTAGTGCTGTCGCCTAACAGCAGGAAGGTCGCTGGTTTGAACCTCGGCTGGGTCAGTTGGCATTTCTGTGTGGAGTTTGCATGTTCTCCCTGCGTTCGCGTGGGTTTCCTCCGGGTGCTCCGGTTTCCCCCACAGTCCAAAGACATGTGGTACAGGTGAATTGGGTAGGCTAAATTGTCCGGAGTGTGAATGAGTGTGTGTGAATGTTTCCTATAGATGGGTTGCGGCTGGAAGGGCATCCGCTGCGTAAAAACATGCTGGATTAGTTGGCGGTTCATTCCGCTGTGGCAACCCCAGATTAATAAGAGGACTAAGCCGAAAAGAAAATGAATAAATGAATGTAGCTTAAAATGCTAAATTCTGTATAGTCATTGACTTTAACAGACTTTCATTATGTCCTGTTTGTTAATTCACTGTAAAATGATGACATCAGAATACAACTATTCATAATTATAAAGTTGATTTATTATGTTTAAGACATGTGCTTGTCATCTGTCATTGACAGCATTATTAGACCATTTGTTTTCACTGGTAAAATGAGACTTTTGTCATTATCAGATTCCTTCTTGCATTATATTCAACATTATAGGCTAATTATAGTAAACATTTATTTTCATGCACAACACTATGTGTTCACTATGAAAGAAAAAAAAATATCAATGCTTGTCGTAATCATAACTCTAAAATGCCATATGATCATTTAAATGATGTGCGCACAGGTTTCACTTTCACTTCCACGTGCGGCTTATGGCTGCTGTCACTGTAAGAAAAAACACATACTTGCAAATCAAACCTCCTCCATGGCCCTCAAACGATTGCTCTGTGCAACAAACTAAACGTTATTTACAACTTCACTACTTGTTATTCAAAGCCTATGCAGGCTGTGTTCACTAAAGTAGGCGTCATTTGCGTGCACACGCGAGTTCTTGGAAGTAAACAAACAGTGTGTCAGCTCACGTGTGTTTTCCCGGCCGCGAATACATCATTACATGAAGACAGAAATTACACTTTTTGGGAGAATTATACCTTATAAATACAGTATGTGACACTTTTAACGCCATTTGAAGGTGTCAGTGTTGCTGTGAAGACTTGCGCGACTGCCTTGCTTCTCTCCTGACCTTGAAAATATAATTGGCTGATTCTTAGAAAAGCAGAATTAAGATCGTGTATAGGGTCGAATCGAGATCGTGATGTTTTTTCGATTAATCGTGCAGCCCTATCCTTAAGACAATCACCAATTGCACTTTAAAGTTGAAATCCTTTTCGTGTAAACTTAGCATAACAAGTTGCCATTTTACTGCCACCATTTCTGCTGTTCATATGACAGGGATATGTCAATAAATAGTATGTGATATTTAAAATGTATCATTTAATAATTTTCCTTCAGCTTAGTCCCTGATTTATTAGGGGTTGCCAGAGCGGAATGAACCGCCAACTATACATGTATAATACATGTTCATATGTATTATACAGCACATGCCCTTCCAGCCACAACCTAGCACTGTGCTGGAAAACAAAATGTATCACTGAAAATCTATTTCCAAACATAAGTACACTTTAGATACGCAGTACCATTTAGTACTGATCAAGATCCTGATTTAAAACTACATTCCTTTAAGCACACGCTTTAATCCTAAATCCCACTGAAACCCCAAAACAGCTCTCCGATCAGCAATAAACGTCCACTTATGCTTAAAAAACAAGCATACCCTGCCAGATGTACCCACCTGTGTCTCATCTTGCACAGCGCGGTACTGCTCCTTCCACACTGATATTTTAGACGCCTCGTCCTTTCGCAGTGCACGTTCCTTCTTCAGCTCCGGGCTCCAGAAGCTTTTGATGGAGCTCATGGAGGAGCTCAGCTTGCTTTCCTTAACCTCAATCTCCTTCCGAAGGAGCTCGTTTTCCCTTAGCACTTCCTTGAGCTGGGCTTGGAGCTCCATGATGGTGTTGTCTCTCGCCTGGCGTAGGGAGTGAGGAACAGTTGAAGCTGCATGGATCTCGCCTCCAAAGCCCATAGAGTCAGTCGATACTGCCGGCACCATTGCCATGTCAGGTGTACTGCCGGTAACCGTTCCTCGGACTCCATAGGGTATGCTACCTCCAAAGCGACCCGTCGCTACGGCAGTCTTAGGGTGGTCAGATGAAGTCCCAATTGCGACCTCGTTGTCACTCATGTACATGGGACCTGACGTGGCGTAGGCAGCATTAAGAGATTGAATGTTCTCCATGGATAGTGTCTTGCCTCCAGAGCCGCCCGGACCTCCTCCACTTCCACCCATGCTGTTGGTGCGACGGTGGCCCATTCGGGGTGACCGAGGCAGTCGAGGCGATCTTCCCGAGTTGCTCTGGTTGTTTCGACCCGCACTGTGATTACTGTCCATTTTGCTCACAGAACGTGAACTTCCGTACATTTTTGGCAAATTTGGTCAATTTACCAAGGCAAAAATGAATGTGAAGGAATGTGCTAATACAAAGGCCAGGTCATCATCTTCATCTCATGTATAAGGAATGTGATCGGTCAAGCAAAAGATGGTCTTCTGTATCTTTCTGGCTGATGGAGCAAATGTGCTGCCCTGTGAAATGAAATCAAAAAGCAAAACATACTAAATGATATATCAAAGAGAGACAAAATGGCATCAAACATATATTTGAGTACTATTTATTATATTCTTTGCCTTACTAGCTCTGGGTTTCATGCTACCAGATGTTTGGTAGATGTCTAAATGATCTGACTTAAAGTTTGGTGGGGGGTGATCAAAAACACTACAATTGGTAAATGCTCAAAAAGAAATTCTACAAAACAAAAAATGTTTGCAAAATTATGTCACATATTAAACTCATGTTATATTTCTTTGAGTGGTAAAAATCAAAGTCCCTTAAAGGCAAGTCATTTCACTCGGTGGCCATCTTTGAAATGTTTCCCTAACCCAATGCATAGGCATTCTGTCTGAATGGGGAAAGATCAAATTCAATAAAACTGCGAGCAAAATTTACGATTAAATATTATATTAGGAATCACCAATAAAATTAAACAACAATTGAATCTTGAGATTAATTTCTAAATGTTTGAGTCACACAAAATCTACAGAAACTCCTGTCTAGTCCAAGCCCCTCCCCAGAGAATCGTCAGTCTATACTCAGTTAAATAGTTGGGTTAAAAAAAACCCAACATATAACCCAACTATAGGTTACTATATCACCTTCCCAACTATGGGTTATTTTAACCCAGTGCATTGAGTTATATGATTTAACCCAATGCGTTGGGTTGTTTTGATTAAATTTTATTTTTTACATTCTGCTATTCCTATTGCTACTATTACAAGTGCTACTATTATTTTATAATTATGGCTGTGTATATAAATAACATGCAATTGCATTGAAAAAGCTTTATTTTCATTACATTTTAAGTTTCAGACACTTAAGGGTTTTTTGTCCGTTTATTATAGATCGCCTAATCGCATGTTTGTATCATCAGTAATTAGGAGTGCTGGTGAAACGGATATAAAAAACACGACACGGAGAGGTAATTTAATTAAATTATATATATATATATATATATATATATATATATATATATATATATATATATATATATATATATATATATATATATATATATATATATATATTATTGCATTATAGCTTAAATAAACTTTACAATGCAAAAACAACATTATGTACGCATAATAATACAGCTGTTTTGTGTCAAATCAGTTAAATCAGTTGACTGTTAAAATTCTAAATCTTTAACCCAACTGGTTGAGTTATTAAATAAATAACCTAATAAAGGTTAAAAATAAACCAACAAAGCACCAAATATTTTAACTGGGTTAAATAATTTAACGTTTTTTAGAGTGTAGCAATTACTGATTGACACCTTTACTTAAAGGCAGGGCATCATTCGCCATGTTAACCATTACACTCTTCCCCATTCAAAGCACGAGTGACATGTCTTGTGTATTGTATAGTCATTGCTCAAATTTGTTATGATACTGTGCATTATTTAGGATGATTTTATATGGGATGCTAATATACAGCTCTAGAAAATTAATCACCACTTTTTTGGGTGTGCCATTAACAGGTATGTGTAATAATAATGTAATAATAAACTATTGATAACACTCAAAAATAAATGTAATCCATGTTTTTAGAGCTTAAATATAGGGAGAAATATGTGTACGCATGTGTGTATTTAAAATATACAAGATATATACATTTATTTTTCCATTATTTCCAATAACGTATGAAAACATGCAATACGTTAATGTTATCTTCTCCAAATAAATGTCTCGAATGTTCTGAATTCTTTTACGAAATTCTGAAGAAACATTATCAGTAGTTTATAAATGAAAAAAAAATTAAAAATTAAAAACAAGGAAACATGTGCTTTTTATTGGCAAATCCAGAAAACCAGCAATCAGAAATGGTCTCTATGGTAATATACGTAATGTAATATAAACGTAATGTAATATAAACGTATGGTACTAATAGTAATATAATTATAGTAATGCTTGGCCATACTGAGACATATTTAAAAATGCCCTAAAAATGTCAAATTGTTAATATTAAAAAAATAATAATAATTAAAAAAAAACATTTTAAGGTCAAAATTATTTGCCCCTTTATGATATTTTTTTCAACAATCGACAGAACAAACCATCAGTATACAATGACTTGCTTAATTACCCTAACCTGCCTAGTTAACCTAACTAACCTAGTTAAGCCTTTAAATGTCACTTTAAGCTGTATAGAAGTGTTTTGAAAAAATATCTAGTCAAATATTATTTACTGTCATCATGGCACTGATAAAATAAATCAGTTATTAGAAATTAGTTATTAAAACTATTATGTTAAGAAATGTGTTGAAGAAATCTACTTTCTGTTAAACAGAAATTAGGGAAAGAAATAAACAGGTGGCTAATAATTCAGGGATGCAAATAATTCTGACTTCAACTGTAGGCTATATAAATGGATTACAGGCAGCAAATAAAATATGATTTTGACAATGATTCAATATTAATAAAAGCCTATGTGTTGACTCAGTAATGTTAACCACTATAACAACTATAACATCAGCATTGTTAATATATTATTTTACACCACACGAGGCTCATATTGAAAATGTATTCACAAGCCAGATAGTGTAATGCATCTCCCATTTACTCACTGAATGAGTGAATCGAAGGAAAGGTGGGGTTTTATTGTAGCCTCACACTCCAAGGTTATAAACCAATTAATGTCAGCTGCTTTACCGACATTATAATTACGATCTACCAAGCCCAAGCCCATAAATGATATCCTACAACAGTATATATCCAGTGTCCATCGCTGTCGATGCAATAATCCTGTTGTATTTAGGTGAAGGCTGCTCTTAAACAAACCAAGACAAACCAAGCAGAAGCGTCGGCATTTCCCACACAGCACGTCAATAAGAATTGCAAATGCGCAAAATGACAGACTACAATTGTTATATCAGTACAATTTAGCACTAAAACGTAATGTTCCGTAAAATCCAGCCCTGCTTTCGCGCAGCCTTCAGCATCCTCCCTCAATGTCCTTCTCCTCCACCATTGCATGGCTTAACATGTTTGCTCCTCTTTTGTTATTAATAGCTGTCCAGCAAATGCGACAGTCAATGAGAAGCGCTATTTGAATGTCAATATATGCAGATTTTGAATAGCCGAGCCGTATTTTAATGTAATCCCTACTATAGGTTTTTTACCAAAATCAGTTTACCTTGCGGCTGGGATGTTTCATCCGATATAGCGACCGTCCGTCCAAGATATTGTGTGATGGAGAGGAAGCGGTCTGTTTTTCTTTTCTTTCTATTGCTTAATGATTTTAATATTTGCAGACACAGACCAGCATCTTCCCAGAGCTGGAGGACTTCAGTGACGTAACGCCTACGCTGCGCGCTCACAAACACTCGCCTCTAAAATGCCAACGCCATGCTACGAAGGTCATTTTGTTTCAAATATAGGCTACAAGTATTTTGTTTTCTCTCACAAAAAATGGCGTTCGGTTTCCGATATTCACTTTGTGTGTTGTGCAATTTCAGAACTTAGTCTAAATAATTTTATTTAGTTAGATATCCTGATATTCCCTGTCATTTTAAATGGAAGGAAAGCCTTCATTTCATAAAAAATACATATGTTTTGTATATGTCATGATGGGACCTAAAAGTTGAAAATATTATCTTAGTTTGCATCTCTCAATAGTCACCCTGCCCCTAACCATGTATATTTCCAAGCCACACTTCATCAGTCTGATAGAGAAAAGAGATAAACGGCAGCCGGTGGGGTTTGATCCCTCTTAAAGGCACAGTAAACATAAAACTGCTTAATCTGTCATCATTTTTGCACACTCGTTGTAACATTCATTCATTCATTCATTCATTCATTCATTCATTCATTCATTCATTATCTTTTCGGCTTAGTCTCTTTATTAATCTGGGGTCACCACTGTAAAATAAACTGCCAATTTATCCAGCATATATTTTACGACCCATCAACACTGGGACACCATCCATACACACATACACTACAGACACTTTAGCCTACCCAAATTCACCTGTACAACATGTTTTTAGACTTGTAGTGGAAACCAGAGCACCCGGAGCAATGACAAACAAATGACAAATTAAAAACACTCACCTCCTCTTTCTTCACTCTTTCTTGTGGGACATGAACAATCTTCTCCAACCTGCAATAAAACAAGAAAACACAGATAAAATATGAAAATAAATTTAAAACGAAAAAAACTGTAAATAAAACGAAATAAATAAATAAAAGTAAGTAAATAAATAAATACAAAAATAAATAAATAAATAGTTTCCCAGGTGGGTTGGAAGGGCATCCACTGCGTAAAAATGTGCTAAGTTGGCGGGTTATTCCGCTGTGGCAACCCCGGATTAATAAAGGGACCAAGGCGATAAGAAAATTAATGAATGAATGAATGAAAAAAAAAATAAGTGAAAATAAAAAAGTACAACAAAACAAATGTTTAATGAAATAATCAGAAAACAAGAACTGAAATAAAAAACTGAATAAAGAAATTGTGCTCATTAAAATTAGTCTTCTTTCGGAAATCCTCGAACAGCTTCAGAAATCTTAGGATTTGCACAGAAATGCTATGCAAAAGTCGCCTCGTCTCTCAACCAACAGATTGTGATAGTTTGGGTTGTATTTTTATCATAACAATCTCAACGAACTTGACCGATCAGAGTGCCATCTTGGGTCACCCCGTGGCCTGCGCCCCCCCTCTTCCCCACCACCTATGACAAATAAATAGAACAAATAGAATGCCGTTATGTCACAGGACAGCATACTGTTCAGAATTTCCTCAGAGTAACAAAATGGCAAATATTATGTCAACTGTGATTTTTACTCGAGTAAGTAGGATCACAACTGACATTGTC